GCTTACATGTAAAGTTAGGGAGAGGGAAAGGCTAGGACAACTTCCAAGTTTCTGGGTGGGTCATGGTACTATTTTGAGAGACTTAACTAGTGGAGGAGTTACCGGTTTAAGTGAAAGGGTGAGAAATGCAACCTGGCCATTGCCACAATTGATCTTGTGAGGCAACCAAGTAGAGCGGTGCAGTGGCAGTTAGCTAAGTGAATCTGGCACCCAGCAAGAAATTTAAACAAAAAATAGAGAGAGCATTAAGATTATAAATACACGTGTGATACTTAAGGTTTTGTGTCAACTGACTGAGCCAGGATTTTCAGTGGCTTGGCAGTTAAAATCTAGTAATCCCCTATGATGAGAGCCCATTAAAAGGGTGGCCTACTTTCAATATACTCGTATGCGGTTGCTGTGGAAAAGTTTGCTTACTTTTTGCTGGGTCTGGATCTTGTATCTGGCTTGTCACCCTTCTGTTTCCTATCAATCCTGGGAGATGTCAGCAGCCTGTCATCCGATCTGCCAACCTTGGATTCCCTTGCTTTGCAGGCACAACGCTGAGCTTCCAAACTTGTATTCATTTGAGTCTGCAGCCAGAAGTCTGTTGTCTTCCTGCCACTTGTGGCTTAATCAGACCTTGCAGATAGGTGAGTCAGCAGAAACCTCCAGCCTAACACCTGACCAAAGATTTGGAACTTGCCTGCTTCTTTAGTTATGTTAGCTGTCTATTTCTCTCTCTCTCTCTCTCTTCTATGCATCCTTTAGCTATTTCTTTAATGTAAACTTCTTTATATAGATACATGTATATAAGCTTTATTAGTTTCTTCATGAGAAAACCTAGCCTAGCCTAGAGAAGGTAAGTGGTCAATGGCACCAAGGAATACAGAAGATGTCAGAGAAACATAGAGATAATAGAACAGAATTCTGAAGAACATCAGCAGTAAAAGAGCAGGCAAAGGAAAAGGAGAAAATTATCAGAGTCACAGAGAAGAACCAAGAGGAAGCGTAGGTCACAGAGCTTACATCACAAGGAGCACGATTCAAGGCAAGGAAGTCAAGTTGCACTAGTAAAATAAGGAGGTGTGCTCATGTAGGAAAGCATATAGACTACAATGGGGTTCTTAATCATATCTTTTTTAGTTTCACAAATAAAATGCACTTTATGTACTTAGGTATCAACAGTATCTTGGAAAATATCCAGGAATATGCTTTATTCAATGCTGTATTTACTAAAACCCCAAACACATCACCATTGAGTTCATTTCAACTCACAGTGGCTCTAAAGGGCAACGTAGAACTCCTCCAAAAGGTTTCTAAGGCTTTAGATCCTTACAGAAATGTGAGGTTTCTGGAGTGGGTTGTGCCTCAGTTCTTTGCTTCACATGTTGCAAGAATTCACACCAAAGCGTGTTGTGTGACCCAAGTCAGTTTTTATAAAGGACAAAATAAGTCTCAGGTTTTTACAGTATCAAAAGGGTACACACTATTTCTGGAAAGCGTGCCAAGTTGTGCAGGAGCTGCGCTGGGGTTCACAACTGGGCACCAACAACCACAGGGAAGAGAGCACCCACACGTGCGGGACTTGGGGCAGGGAGGCCAGGAGGCCAGAAGCCCAAGCACCCTAGAAGCTAAGAGACTGTGGGCCAAGAACCTGTGGGCCCTGAGTGGACCCGGAATGGGTGCGTGTGTACCCATGCAGGGGAGGGAGACCCTCTCCTTCCACCTGCCGCTGACTAGGAGCTGGTAAAAGAGAGCCAGGCTTTCCCACAGCCAGGATATTTCAAATCTCTGGCTGGGGAGGCATGGTTCATGGTATTGGTTGGCCCCACTGGCTGAGTTAGGCCTACCTGTGTGATGGTACCTATGGTGGGTGTGTCCAAGATATTGGTTTTACCTGGGCCTAGGGGGCTTGTGTCTGTGCATGTTCAGTTTGGGGTCTTCATAGGTGTTCAATGGCTACCTGATTTCTTTCCAACCTCCTCGCTGGGGGCTCCAGTCCCTAAGCTCGGTACCTAACAGACACTGACTGCCACCTTTCTCCCTTGGAGTGACTGGGGGGTTCCACCCGCAGGCTTAACAATGGAGGGCATTACCACTGCATCCCAAGGCTTCCTCCTGCATTTACTGCAATATTACATGCCTGGAAACAAGATGTATGCACAATGTCAGTTCATCGTTGTGTAATCACAAGCAAAAATCACGCCTGTTTTTGGACATGGTTAACCACTCAGCTGCTAACAGAAAACTTGGCTGTTCAAATCCACCTAGGAACTCTGTAGGTCAAAGACCTGACAGTCTTCTGTAAAGATTATTGTCTAGAAGCCTGGGGGAGCAGTTTTACCCTGTCACATGCAGTCGCTATGAGTCGAAAACCCACTCATTGCCATTTAACAATAACAGCTTAACAACAAAGTTGATGACCATGGGTTTATCAGCATTAGAATTATATTTGGATGGCATATGTACAAGTAACAAGTTAATATAATTTTATGGGAAAACAGCATAATATAAAATTTTCATCTGCCGTTGCAATTCTCTGAAAATATAACTAATCATGTGTAAAATGTGATATAAAATGAAAATTATTGTGGTAAGGTGGGTAAAATATTGAGGAATTCTTAAAAAGTATTTTAAAATATTTTATGTAAAATAATAACCCTGCTGGTGTATTGCAATGTCTTTGTAATGGTGTCTTCTATGCGATTTGGGAAATGTATTTCTGAAATGTATCTTGATAGTGATGGCCACCAAGAATTCAATGTAATTCAAGTACGTTTGTCATATGCTTATTGAACATAATATGGAAAGTTCAAAAATAAGCTAGATATTGCCTTGCACAATCTAGGACTGCAGGGAGAACTCAGTCTTGAACTCTTTTACCAAAATTCTTTTTTAACTTTCCACTTTGCTAAAATTCATTTATTTCACAGTATAATATATTTAGAGGAAAAATAAAAGAAATTCCCCTACTTACAGATTGGAGTCTAAGAAAAATTGCTCTCTCTCTGGCATGGAATGTCATTCCAACATCCTATTTATGCCGCCTATGCACAGATCCTTCCTCAGCAAGACCTGGCTAAGTAAGATCTTACTCCATCTCCCACACCTGTTAGGTAGTCAGAATAGGGAGTAAGGGAGGTTGTCCTCCGATGCCTGCATAGTGCTACAACAAAGGGGTCCGAGAGAAATCAGGCACGTTAACTAGACACCTATGGAAAGAACCAAACTGAGCATGCTCAGCCATAAGCCCCCAAGGTCACATGACATTACCCCAGCGCGCTTAAACTCAGCCAATGAGGTCTGCCCATGGCTTAACCACTCCTCCCCAGCAGAGGAGCTAAGCACCTGCCACACGAGGGCCAATCCCCTTGTACTCCCCTCTTGTTTGGGTGTGCTTTTGCAGGGGGGACGGGGGAGGCCTGGGCCTGGGCCGTCTTTCACAGTGTGCTCTTTTGGGATTTCCCTCACTCTTGGCTCCTGTGATTTTCTGTGATAACCTGAAACTTCCCCTTTCCTCCTAAAAGTCACGTGGATTTTACAAAAGTGCTTCTGCTACGTGAATTCCTTTAGCATTGCGAACCAAGAAACGAGGTGCGAACCACTCCCAAAACCTAACGGCTTCAGCAGACTTTGGGGGTATGCCTGAAATCACAAGACTTTGAGCTAACCTGGGTTAAAACCTTGTCTCTGCTACTTAAAAACTGTGTGATCTTTAGCAAGTTACTTATCCTTGACTTAAACAAAAAAATTTATTGGCATATATTTCCCATACCATACAACACAATTAATCATATTAAGAAGAATTGTGCAATTTATCACCACAAGCAATTTCTCAACAGTTTCTTCTTGTACTCGTTGTTAGCTCCCCATTTCCCCATCCTCCCCTGCCATGCCCCTGGGCAATTATCACTCCAGTTACTGTCTCCATACATCTACCCATTCTGCATTTCATATACAGAAAACCATACAAAACACAAACAGGAAGCAAATAGACAAACAATAACCAACAACAATGATTACACAAAACCGAAGTATCTCAATCAAAAAGAAAGCAGACAATATTAAAAACGACTTTAAAATGGGTCCAAGTGGAGATCACATGAGAAGGTATTACACTTTAATCTAGCTACGTCTGCCAGAATCAACTTGACAATGCTCCCTGACAGCAAGGCTATCCAGCGCCCTCGCTGATGATCAGATGAGCGTCACTGGAGGCTTACTCCATATGCGGGCCCTGCAAGGGGATGTTGAGCCTCCTCTATTATCCATAGCCTCTGCGAACCAGGTGTTTGCAATTTAAGCTCGGATATCATTCTTTCCTTCGGGTTTGGCGTTTATTATTTCTAATCCTTGGATCACAAAGGCTGGTGTACATCTTCCATGTGGACTTAGTTGATGGACCCTTGTCTTTTTTAGCTTTAGTTTCCTCATTTGTAAAATATTAGTAATTTATTTATTTCATCGTATCTGGGAGACTAAAAGGCAATGTTTGTAAAGTACTCAACATACAACATCCACTATATGGATGGCAACTTTCATTATGGTTTGATACTGAAATGCGAATGAGATTTATACCAACTTTGGAATACTACCGAAATTAGGAATTAACCAAAATCAGTGCCTCACTTAAAAAAAATATTGCTCTTCAATATTTATTGACAGAAGACTGTTTAGTGTGCAATAGACAGTAAACAGTTACAGGACTTTCAGCCCTTTAAATACAAAAGGTAATTTTCAGGTAATCATGAAATAGATATTATGTCTGGTTATGCAACAGTACAACATATTCATTAAAAAATTGAATATTATTAAACCCTCAAGACAGCAAAAGAAGAAAAAAAAAGACAGCAAAAGAAGAACACATGGAAGTCTTCATACTCATAATTGTTTTGACTTGTAGTAAATACGTTTTTTAAACCTTACTATGAAGTAGAAAAGCAAATCCAACTCAACCAAACTACTGCGTTCGATGTTATTTGGATTCATGGCTAGCCTACAGGGCAGAATAGACCCACCTGTCTGGGTTTCCAGGCTGTACATTTTCACGACAGGCAGAAAGTCTCAGTTTTCTCTTGCAGGGCAACCAATAGGTTTGAATTGCCAACCATGGGTTTGTAGACCAATACTTTGCCACGGCACCAGCTAACACCGCCCAGTGATTTTAGATTGTTGCTTCAAAGGGCATGATTTTCTTCCTATGCTGACTCAGAGCTGGCCACACTGTATTCTGTTTCTTTGTACTTTGTACTTTGTACTTTGGAGTGGTCTAACTTTTTGCCTGCCACCTTGGATCTCTCTGGGCCATACAAAAGTAAGCAAACAAACAAGCAAACAAAAACTACGTTATAGGATTTTTGTGAGAAATCCACCTTTAGTGTCTGAGTGCTGGTTAGCTTCGGTGCTAACTTGGCCGGTGCTAACTTGGCCGTACCTGTACCAAGGTATGCATGAAGGCCAACAGCATCCAGCTTGATGGGGTCTCCTTGGAGATGTGACCTTTTAATAAGAGACACAGTGGAGAACTGGTCTCCTTCTTGCTTCTCATCTCCTTCCTGCTTGCTTCGGTCCTGCATCTGGGTTTGGGGCCAGTGGCCTGCTGGCCCTGAGGGCTGTGAGCACCCAGCCGCGTTCCTGCCAACCTTGGACCCATGCTACTCTGTACCCACTGGCCTGCGATCTTCCAGGTTTGCCTTCCTGATTCATTGCCCTCCCGCTGGGTGGATCTAGAGGGACTTCTAGCTAGCATCTAAACCCATGGACTTGAGGTGGACTGTGCCGGCCTGCTGCCTTGATATACATTTCTTCTTTATATGGAGTTCTTTCTTATGCTTATATGGGTGTACCTGGTTTTATTTCTTTAGAAAACTCAGCCTCAGAAAGCCCTCAATAAATATGAGCTGTTAGGTATTGTAACACCTCAAAACTGGGTTTATTGCACTAGGTCAGTGGTTCTCAACCAGTGGGTCGTGACCCCTTTGGGGGTCAAATGACCCTTTCACAGAGGTCGCCCAATTCATAACAGTAGCAAAATTACAGTTATGAAGTAGCAACGAAAATAATTTTATGGTTGGGGGCGGTCACCACAACATGAAGAACTGTATTAAAGGGTCGTAGCATTCGGAAGGTTGAGCACCAGTGGTCTAGATAATGTGACCCCATCCTAGGCAGGGAACCAACTGCTCCCAATTGCCAACTGTATTCAATGCATCCATCGGAGTCAGCACTGCTGCCTTCCCGTTCTAGTGCCAAAACCTCCTGACTGGTCTCTGCATCCACATCCACTTTCCCCCTCGCTACCTTCGGTTTCCCACCCAGAAGCCAACGTGTCACATAAAAATAGGTAGTCTATTTTGGGGAGAAAGGCTCATTGGAATCAAATTGTTCTAAGGAAGTTCTGCTGTTTGGAAGAGAGGTTTATATACTGTGACTAACGTTCACCTTTTTTCAGCTTGTTACGTAAGTTGGCAATAGTTCGATGACGACCACTATAAGAATGAAAACAATAAAAAACAGAATAAGACAACAAAGAAGTGGAAACAAAAATAAAGAGATTTTAAGCCAAAAATGGCAACCAAAAGAAAGCTGGTGTCCAAATATTAGTATCAGACCAAGTAGACTTTCTGTTAAAACTCATTGATAAAGAGAAGCTATGTGATTACACACTGAAGAAAAGGTCATTTAGTATTACTGAAAGAAAGAGAAGACAATCCTTAACCCATGGTCTCTAATAAAATAGCCTCAAAATATATAAAGGAAAACAGCTGAGCTGCCGGAGAAATGGATAAATCTACCATCAGAGAGGGCAATTTCAACAACTCTCTCTTACTGATTGATAAGGCAAATAATAAAAGGTTAGTAAAAATAAATAAAATTTGGACAACACAACAAACTCAGTTTAGTAAACACACATAGAATTCTGATTCCCAAACTAGAGTCTAATCTCTTTCTCCCAGGCAAGACCTGTTCATCCTTGGCTGCTTGTTAGGTTGAAAATTACCCAGAGAGACAGCTGTGCTGCCAACATCCAAGGGGGGCAGGGCAGAGCAGCCAAACACCAATTGGAAGCTCTGGATATGCCATCAGTGCACCAAGATGAACTAGGAATTCCAGGAAACCTTTTTCATTCTAATCATCTGAGAATTTTCTTACATGATTGATTGATTGATTTTCCCAATATTTTTTGAAAGCCCTTCTGGCAATCTACATGAGGCACTTATCTATTGATTGATAGGCTTTCTTTTTTTTCCAAGGCATTGCCAGAAATGGTGATGGATAGCCCTTAAAAACTGTTTGTATATTGGGCATCACCCACTCCTTACCCGTTTCCCCTGACATGTTGCGTGGCACTTTTGGTGAAAAGATAGTCTAAGATAACGCTGGCATTTGGTATATCAAATATGTGGGTGTCATAATTTTCAAAAAACATGCAAAGAAATTAATTTGAAAAGTTGGCAACTTATTTTCTTTATGTAAGTTAATTATCTTAGATTTTATAAAAATGTATTGTTTTACATTATATAGTACTTTTTATTTTAATTGCCTGAAAATTTGTGATATAAAGGAATACATAATCATATCATTTTAGAAATCTTGGATTTTTTCCCCATACATGTGAAGTATAAGTTCACATGATTAAATATGGAAAAAAAATTTTTAAGAGAAAAGACATTGAATAAGGCAAGAGAAGGCATAATTAACTCTGGTTGGGTAAGTGAGTAGCTCTTCATGTTTGTAAGCAAGTGCCCATTATCAAAAACCCAACCAGTGGTAAGTTCAATGAAAACAATATGAACTTGCATATTCTTTGTTCTCCCTTTAGATCAAGCTTAATTCTAACAAATATAATAGATAGCAGTGGCTATTAAAAAAAACACTTGCATGCTCTGGCTACCATTCAGTCTGTCATATCAACTAAAGAAGCAGATTTGCAAGGGATTATACAATCTAATGAAAAATCCTTGATTTAACTGGTGAAAGAGGGGTTGTTAAATATTAAGTTTAAATAAGATTCAAGTTTTCCTTGCTCTAACCACTACGTGGTACAACCATAATTGAGGATATAGTTGTAAACTTTTTAAAAAGAAGCATATATTCCTATTCTATCTTCATGAGTATAATCACTAGAAGATGCATACCTTCTAAAAACATCATTAACAATAAGAATCAAAACAAAATTTAGCCTGAAGAAAACAAACAATTAACAACTGTATCCCATATTATAAATAAAAGTTCTGCTCCCAAAACCTGTAGAGATGATCCTTTTGCTAAAAAAGTAGTTTAAAATTTTTCATCAGTTTTATTTACATACAATTCAATAATTTAAATATGTTTAAAAGAGTTGTGCACTGATCCCAAGGGCTCAATGGAAAGTAAATGTCTAGAAAAGACATACTAATATGTTGGATACAATTGATTTATGGATGGTAATAAGAGTTTTAAGAGCCCCCAATAAAATGATATAATAAAAAAAGAGTTGTGCAATTATCACCATAATCAATTGTAAACAATTTTCTTCTTTCTTGTACCCATTATTATTAGCATCTCATCCCTACCCTAACTTCCCTTGCTATAACTCTAAGAAATTATAAGTCAGTGTCAAAAACAGAAAGCAAAAATAAAACCCAAAACAACAATAAAATAAAACAGAAAAACCTCAACTGAAAAGAAAGCTGAAAATAATAACAACTAGAACAAATTTAAAATAAATCCAAAATGATTGAGATTTTCTTCATTTTACTTTGGTATTGTTCTTGGGCCTTTTGGGGGGTGTGTGTGTGTGTGATTTTTTGGTATGATTTTCTGTATATGAAATCCAGGCTAGGCAAAATTATAGAGAATGGCTGCATTGAAGGTTTCTTT